CTTCATGCGCTGCGTGAATATGATTCGGTAAATTAATTTATGTCAAATTGTGGTCAACGAAGTGTCAAGTTTCCAAGTTCCCATCATAGCTGTGCTCTTAATCATCCGTAAGCAGAAGTTGTTCCTAATTCTATTAATGCTGGGGGGTNGGGGGGGCGGTTTATACAACGGCGTTAATTAATCGTTGGGTTTTAACAGGAAATTGTTATCAAGTACACTTGCAAAATGATGATCAGTATGATGTTTCTCAAGTTGCAATCAACAAGAACATTTATTACATTCTCAGCCGGTTTCTATACAAACAAATATAAATTCAATCATGTTTTTACCCCGGCAATTACGATAGGAAGGTAGGGTGTAATACCATTCAATATACAAGGTTTTCCTGTATTTTTCAAAACAGCGTCTAAAAAACTGAGAGGAACGGTTAGTAGTGGCTGCTCACAACACTTTCTGAACATTTTAGGCTCTACGTCCTGTCGAATCCTCTGCCGTTCGCCGGTAATCGATGAGTTTACAGTGGAGCTTTTCAAAACAATTTGTCAACTATCCTTCATTATTTTGAAGAGCTATTCTTCCATAAGAGTTTGAATTTGATAGAACTGATACTGAGTACCATTTGAGTTACCCGGCCCTTGCTGCTTTTCAGGAAACAGTGGTGTAGTCGCCTGCGCACACATTTTATTTCTAATTTGATAATGATGTCAAAATGACACCGAAACGTGTTTTCTTTAGCGTTGATGTTCATTGAAAAACTTAATCACTAATCGGTGCAAATAGTTTTATTTAATTTATTTTTCATTCTGTTGTTTCCATAATAACCGTAAACCTTCTAAGTCAGGGCGGCTGCATTTGGTCCGGGTACTTTTTCTTGGGTTTGCGTGTCCGGCTTTGACTGACGCCAATTTCAAAGCCAAATAGAAAACGGTTCTCAAACAATAGAGAAAACGGGCTGAAAATATCCAGAAGGGCTTGTGTTCTATTACCCTGCAAGCAGAGTCTCCTTCGATCTTCCTAGACAAATCTATTCGTTTGCGGATTAACTATTTTTCAAAAGCTATACTCAGTTTACCATCAGAAAGAAGAGAGGTCAATTAAACAGTATTTTATCCTCTTGCCATTGATTTCTTGTTCTTTGTTTTTATTATATGGATATTTTCGATATGACATCCTAAAAAGCATGAAATAAATTTTCAAGGTCTAAGGTCAAAGTCTACGGTCTCGTCAACAGTACAAAGAACAAATTTAAAAACGGTGTTTTCACTCTCAAAACGCCGGAGAAAATGAAAAACGAAACAATCACTGGTCATTTTGGATTTGTGCTCGAGGAAAACTCATCATCGTTTTCGAAAAGCTCCGTGTTCAAAATGTTTTCTGTCCCCAGTAAAATGAAAAGCCGGCGTTTTCACCGGGCCTTTAAAATTCCTCCGGTTCAAAGAATGTTTTCGAAAAGCTCCGTTTCCGTGCCGAATTAATGTGGACAGTAGACTTAACTGTAGAAATAAAGCTGCATTTCTCCGCGAAGGTGTGGACAAAAGTATCTTCTCAAAGTGTGGCCCGCCACACTACATTCTCGTCCCAAGATGCCGCGCCGCTTTTGGTCAGCACCAAGAAAGGCGACCTCTGGCTCAGTCCAACACCGGAGGCTCGCGATTCACGGACTTCCCGTCACTATGCGCATGTTCAGAGTCAAGTCTGATAAATCTGATTGGCTGAGAATACGAAACAATTATTCTGCGCATGCTCAGAAAATTGGACCTTCTCTGGCAGAGGTCGCAATTCTAGATACTCACCAAAAAGGAGCGCGGCCTCTGGGTAAGAGAATGAGAGAACTATTGTTAACTTAATCACAACGTAGGAGTTACGTTCACCGCCAAGCGTTTGATTGGCAGCAGCTCAAAACAGCGCTAACTCTTTTGACTGAGTAATTTTACTTCCTACCTACCCCTTCTAAGTAAGTAATTTTTCATCATGTATCCCCCTCCCTACCAGCTAATTATTGTAGCACTGGCAAGAATTATAAATTAAAAGAACATAAACACTACCAAATAATACGCATGTTGATTTTATTACGCAATTTGGTCCCAAACAAAATCTAAGGAGTAAACGGAGAAGTAAACTCTTCAAAATCTATGCTTATTAAGACCGGGTATGCAAACCTAATTTACGGTTGTGATTTTCTTTGTTTTAACTTGATGAATCATTAATGATCATGACTTTGATAACCTACTTTCTCAAAACGATATCATGAATCTGATTACAATATTATGAATCTGTTTGTTTCAAGCCTATGTTAATTTATTTATCTTTAACAATTATTCGCCGAAGTTTTAATATAATTACTCAGGTGATTATGGAAATGCCTAAACAAAAGATCGATCGAAAAATGTTAAATTTTATTTCTTATTGTCACGCGTCAACGACCAATCACACGCACAGATCACATAGTTTAATACATCACATCGTCAAAACGGCCAGTGTTTTTCGTGCATTTTAAAACGTTCGGCCTCTACGAAAAAGCAAAAAGGAGGCTAAAATTGTCTCAAAGTCAGTGGTAAATTCGATTTGTTGTTGAAACCATTCTGTTAGATAAATAAAGTAAATAACTAAAGTGTTGCGAAAATTTAATAGTTGTTTTGATTTGCTCGCGCATATCGACATAAGCGACATTTTCAAGTGAATTTAAAAAGGTTTCTTTGTTATATTTAGCACAATTTTCACATCTTATCTTTGAAAAGTGTCAGTCCGAACTTTCAGCTGTATTTTTGGTGTTTCTCGGAATAGCATTTTCTTTCCTTATCTTAATTTCTTTTTCAGAGACATTGAGAAAGCGTGAGGCGGCCATTTAAAAATTAGAAGGTGGTGATTATAGCGGAATATGCCGCCATTCTCGACCAATGAGAGCGCGAGAATTTCTATAATCATCTGAGTAATTATACTAATTTTAGTTATTTGTTCTCTGATTCATTGATTCAATGAGCGATCGACCGATCGATTGATTAATTGATTCATGATCTCCATCTAAATTTACAGCGCCTATCACCGATGTTGGTGCAGATTAGAGACAATCTATCATCAGTGCAGGTGTTACTTACTCCTAGGTACAAATTAGTGTCGTTAGCAAGCGTTTGTTTATAATATCTATATCTATAGGGTGGTTGCCTTTCTTCATCAAACAGGAAAGCATCAGCAGTTGAAGAGTTACATCGCTCATTCTGTAAAAGAAAACAAAAACTCAATAAACATTTCGCTCAGAGAAAACTCTCATTTTACTTAGCTAAACATACGTTTACTTGTTGCCAACAAGAGCCTATGGTGTTCTCTTGTTGTTCCCAACTAACATTATCATTTATTATAAAGACACGCGCGTTTTCCTGGGAAAGGCGCCACTCATAAAATTCATACGCACTACATCCGGAACCCGAGTGACGTATTTTCCATGTTCTCACTATATTTTACCGCTCGAAAATAAAATTGTTATCTTCCCGCCGCTGTGGAATTATTCCAAAAGTGCGCGTTCGATATAAAATGATCGAAAGCCAACGAGGCTCGTCGCCGAGTTGACTATAACCATCTCATATCCAACAAGCGCGAGTGCAATAATTGTTTGATTAAAAGCGCCCCTAAAATATAGAAAACTAAACTAAGATGAAAATAAAAACGCACCAAAATTAAAAAATTCTTATGCGTATGCTTATCACACTGATATTTGTACCGTATGGTATAATTACTCTTATTAAATTTTCAACCTCGGATAATGCAATTATAGCTTTCTGATTGGTTCACTAGATCTCGGTTACCAGCCATTATACCT